GAAGCGAAAAACATTGAGAGAAACGCAGACAGAAAGTAAGGAATAACGAACAAAAGAACTGTTCTTGCTCCAGTGGACGTGGCTACACTTTCGAGCAAAAAATGTCTCAGTTTTCGAGAGAATTTCTTTTCACAAACAAGGTTTCTTTAATTCTCCATTGAAGAATGACCTCGGAAAATTCTTTCAACACATCCCAAACAATATCCATTGAAAGTTTAATTCTGAAAGAAGACTGGAATTCCGGGCACTGTTCGATGAAATTGAAATGTTTCCCCAAAATGCGAAGTTTAAATTGACCAAAAAGCAATGATGAACATCCAGAGCTCTTCGTTGTTCCATAACCTACAGGAATTCCAGAAAAGATTGTTAACCGTATTGGAGCCTTGACTTAATTTGCGCAATATGACTGCTTGACGATTCCTGGTCCCTTTTTGCTCAGTTTACCCTTTTTCAAAATCCAACTGTCTTTTTCATCTTGTGGGAACATTAAGGTGAAAGCCTGATACTGCAAATCAGTTTCATGAAGCAAAAATGAATTTCAACGAAGAAACACGGGGTGGCTGTATCATTTTTGAACATAGGAAAATCGACCTCTTCTGAAAAAATAAGCACAAAATTTTTTGTGTTTTCGACATGGATTTTTGTGTTCGATATCTGAACTCGCCATGAAATTTGTCACATTTCCTATCTGGACAGATTCCCAGAAACTCTATGACTTTACTAAGGTTTCGGAACAAATTTATGGTGTATCATATTGAACGCTATGTATATTCATAAAATTCTTTTTTGAGATGCGCCACGCATTCCACTTCGATCCCGACAAATGCGATCTGACCTACAGTGACTTCCCCAGGTCAACCGATGTAAAAGTCAGTGTTTTCTTATTATTTAGTAACTTGTTGTTTATCTGTTGTTCAGTACTTACTCAACGAATTTTGACATATTTCACTTGTTTTCGAAAACAAAAACTCTCCATAAAGCACTAGCAAGCAAAAATGGTGTGGCCATCAGATAGACAAAAAACAACGTGTGTCTTTCCACGTCATTGAAAGCGAGCTTATATATGGGCTTCATAGTTATGGTTTGGTTTTATAATATCTTATATTTATGAAATCTACTATAGTCTTATTATAAAATAATAATTAAGGTAATAAACGACATGCGATGGCCCCATAACGACGAAGAACGGTATCCATGCACAGTGAAGAGTAACCTATGGATTTTATTTCTGAGTGAATAATCCTCTTTCAAAAGTTCAGATGTACATTAGCTACTAAAATAATCATGTAACACGAACACAACAATGTCATGAAACAAGTTAATCAATTCTAGCAGAATAAATGATCAGGAGAGGAACAAATGAAAGATAATGAGAAACAACTTTCCTGAGTTTAGAGAAAGAAATTGGTATTTGCATAGCTTACTCATTTTTTGCGTACTCCGTTCCAGCCCGAAAAGTGAAAAAATTTACCAATGGACGTAACGAGGTTGCCGAAAGAATAACTTGAACATATCACCCCTAGTCTTGGACGGCACCAGCTTGAAAAACAAGTGACTACTCAAATCAATTCGCTTACTAAGAATGTTGTGTACCATTAGAATGTCGTTTCTTTTTCTCCTGAGATGTAGCGGATCTAAATTGAGAATCTTGTTTCCCAACCAATCCACGTGGTATGCTTCTGTAAGTGTGAAACCTAGAGCTCTAGAAAAAACAAAAAAAAACAAAGAAAAAATAGACCTAGCTGAAAATCTTCCGTGTGAAGTTATTATGAATCTTTTCCAGCCCGTCGGAGAGCGTTTCCTCATGAGGATAGTAAGTGCAGGTACCGTATTCGAGAAACTGAGCGCACGTAAACTTTGTATGCCCTGATAAGAAGCAATGGGTCTTTAGACTTAAGCGCTTTAAACAGCAAGAAGATTCATTGTTCAGCCTTAGAAGCAATATTTTTCAAATGCTCCTCAAAATTCAATTTAGAATCAACGAGAAAACCCAGATCTTTTACAAAGATCAAAAAAGAAGATCGACCGTAAGTTTAATGGAACATTTGTGGAGTAGCGATTTTTCATGCGTACAAATGGAATAACACATAAAAGCAGTGAATTTTATCGAATAAATATAATGAAACACCACATACAGATTGATCTTCCGGTATATTTCCGATTAAAAATCAAATTGGCTGCCAGGTCTGTGAGTCACACACTGTAAATAGTAACTAGCTGATTATAGGAGTTGCATGAAACTCAGCGATGCTCCCCTCGAATACATCATGGGAGATTTCGTACCTGCGTGTCCCGCTTCACCACATCCTTGTCCCCAGCTCACAATTCCTGCCTGATACCACCGATTTGACTCATTATGTTTCATGACCAGAGGACCACCTGAGTCTCCCTGAAATTCATTGAGTCGTCAATTGGTAGCGATTCCCTACAGAATCCTATCGTCCCTGTTTTGATAGTGCACAATAAGGATGAACAAATGGTGTGAAAGGGATTTCTGAATTGATTTCACAGACCGGAGCGAGATGTGCGACCAAATGGTGCACATGCACTTTGACGTCTTCTTTAGGTTCAAAGTACACACACTGTGCCAAAACAAGTTTTGTACTCCAGAAGTTGCCCCAGTCGATAGGCCTTTGTGGGGAGATCCAGAATGTGCTGTAGACAGTGATCCTCAGGTATCGAAAACATTCCATACGAAACCATATTGTGCGGTTGATTTCAGGAGAGCGTGATCAATGCAAGGAAACTGGGCGAGTACACGAGTTCTTTTGTACCTATGGAACCGAATTCAAAACTCTACTCTGTCGTGTGGTAGCTCCTGATAGGAAAAGGTAACTCATTGGGATTCGGTATGAGTTCTGATGTAAAGCTAGGCCTGAATCTCATTGTTGTCAGCTTGAAGCCACAAAATTAGAAGAGGTTCAGAACTTGCTGACAGGTTGGAATTCATGCCCTTAAGTTCGAACTTTCAGTAACTAATTTGTAATACTTATACGAATGCCTGCAATCTTAAAAGAACTCTGATATAATAGCGCATCAAAAACTGACCCTAGCCATCAATTACTTCACCGATATCCTGATGCAGAAAAATTATCCTTAAACAGTGACGATAAAACGCCGTTGTTTTTGGCTGCTTTGGGGCCGCTGACCGCCGGGATATTTTGCAGCGGCGCGGCCTCGTAATCAAGCGATTTGTTTATAGATGCTCAAAACAATGTCTGATCAAAAGCAATATCGCTACCTTCCAGTGCGGCAGAAGCTACCCAGGAGAACAGTAGAGGAAATTCCATCAAAAGACGTGAAATAACAATGAGAAAAGCAAAATTAGTCAAACCTAGCTACAATGAATGCTAAAAGGAGTTTTGAATTGATTGTCTCGATCAAAACACATACCTTGCAATCCCTTAGGTTCCACATTTACTTCTTCTACTCTTTTAATTGTCACATTAATGAAAAGAAAAAATAAATGAGAAATTAAATGAAGTAAGTGCGTTGTAAGGTATCGGGAATCTTCGTCTGAATCATGACATACGTGAGCATTTTGTGGGCCACTATCTTGGTAGCTATACTAAGGTTTCTTCCAAATGATATGTACGAAAAACTAAGAAAAGAATGGCGCGTGCGCGGAAGAAAATGAATTTATTGGGCGCAGGACACATACGTCCCGCGCTGTCCGTTATGGCCTGCAAAGTGCGGGACGTATGTGTCCTGCGTTGTCGTCAACGTGTCGTGCGATGTTAAAAATTCTATAAATTCTATTCACCTGGCAACTGTCGTAACCTTTTCCTGCCGGACAGGCCAATTGTCTCTGTTCATTTCACCCTTGTTATTCAATTTCACACTCTTCGGGCTCAAGGGAATGCACATCACCTGTGAAGCTTCTTATACTGCAGCACCTCCTCTAATATTGGCGGTTCTAAAAAAACAGCTTTGAAAATTGAATCCACCCAAAAAATAACGCGGGTGACTCCCAGCAGTTACGTAGCCCCGCTGTTGTTGTCGTCCTTATCTTCATCGTCTTGATACACCACACGGTTGGATATGGCATTAGTGAAGTCACATGGAAGCTAGCGAAAAGGAGTAGTTAGTAATATCACTATAATATTCCATGCACTGTTCGACGGTTTAGAGCCAAGAGCACTGGCCGCCTAATAACACACTCGGGATCGAGCACATGAAGAATTAGAAGTACGTCCACAGTAGCTAGCTCCACCTACTGGGTTGAATCTGAAGATTCCGGCAAGCACTAACCCTTTCGACGTTGCGAAGACATCTAAGGTAGAGGGCAGTAGCGCCGATACATGCACTGATGGTTCGCAGGGCCTCACAAATAGAGTTCACCCAAGCTTATTGAAAATTTTGTTCTCCGAAACACGCCAGTTAATTCAGGGTTTGCGATCTAGATTTTTCTTTTACATATTCAAAGCGAGCTTCGCGCATGCATTGACTTCCGTGGTGGCCGATATAGAAGTCTGTATCCCAATTTCCACGCAGGTCTCCCGAAAGAAGCGCAAATTGTGACTCATCTCAAAAAAGGCATTGAAGGCACCCGAGATAAAATGGGTGTGTAGAAGCGTACACTAATGAAGCTGGGGAAGAGGAGCGGTCTGGGAAAGGAGAACAAAGCTAGGGAAGTTCCCTGACCTCGTCCCAGCAAGATTCCTATTTCAGCCGCATTCCACCTTTCGATAGAAAAGGAGCGTGTTGGACGTTCACGAGCGGCTACCTCCGGCTGTTCCAGTGCCGCGACAGTGAGCCGCATGCTAACGCTGTAGAAACTGCGGCCGCATCCTTCTTCTCGCGGCGCCGCCGTGGTAGGCCACACCGAAAGGCGGGGCCTGCGGATGAAGGTGTGGATTGCGTGTCAAACAAGCTTCTAGCGCATCCTCAGGCTGCCAAGGAGCCATGAAACCAACGCTTCTCCTCCGTCTTCTTCGATCGATGATGGAACAGGTGAACGTGCCTGATGCTGACCGCGCCTTTGAGTGCTAGGTTTAAGTGCTTTATCCTTACAGTTGTGAAAACTGATAGGCTCTGATCTCTAGATTTGAAGACAGATCAAGTAAAACTGGCTAAAGGAAGACATGAAGAGAAACCATCACAATCTCTTTCCTGCCCTTACACAGCAACTGAGCATAACAGCTTCTGCTGCTACGGACTTACCCTCAAAAGGCTGATATCATAAGAGAACGGGTGTGGCCGTCCAAATTGAGGATGAACGTGGATCTCGACCACGTCTCTCAACTGTTCACCATCTTCATCATCGTCTCTATAGTCGTAGGTTCCTAGCTTGACGCCAAAAGTGCCCGGAATGTCTTCATGGTCACGTCTGAATCAAAATGACTGTCAAATGGATGATTAATTGAGTGACTTTTTCTCTGGCCAGTAATGCTTAGAGGAAAAGCGCTGCGCAGCTGGTCAGTCCAACCATATTTTGCGGCGGAGAGACATGGCACAAACAGCTTGATCGGGTTGAATTATAAGGATCGCGCATCACCGTCAATAGAAAACAATCCATAAGGGATGCCGATGGAGTAGTGAGCTGACCCGCAAGTTACTTTTGTCATTGTGTGCGAACAATGAGTCGTAAGCCCATCCAGAGCAAACGAACAAAAGAAGGATCCATTTCTCGGCCGTTTGATCAACCTTTCGCGACTGGTCGTTTCACTTCGCCACGGCATCTGGCAGTTCTGCTTTCATATTCGACCAACACCGAATTTTGTGTTGGCATCAAAATGTCATAAGAACTAACGAAACACAATTTTCCGTGGGCAGCCCTATCAAACGAATTGGCCGCCCTTATGCAGCATATCCTTTAGTCTTGAAGGCAGCGAATAGGATAATTTGGTGTTGGTCGAATATGAAAGCAGAACTGCCAGATGCCGTGGCGAAATGAAGGAAGTCCAAAAAGATTATCAAACCCGAGAAATGGACCCTCGTTTTGTTCGTTGGCTCTGGATGGGCTTACGACTCAATACTGATCGTTTGGGTGAAGAAGTCCCGATAGGATATAACAGGTCACACGGTGAGAAGATAGCAAAATTCAACCAGGTGCGGGGGGGTTTAGGTTGGGCTCAACTGCCACTGCCACGGTGCGGAAGCCTTCCACTGCAGGGTTGCTGCCCACCTGCCCATCGCCTTCCGATGATGTCATACAGCTTTCGCTCCTGCCATACCCGCTTTATCACAGTCTCTGTCCCCATGCAGAGCGAATAGTCAGAAAGGAACTCACACACAGTGACCAGCACTCATCACCCATTCGCTGTCTATTATGGTTCCACCGCATCGTAAGTTGCATTTCTTGTCGAAGATACCGGAAATTTGTTAGGATTCACGAAGCAATCTATTATATTTACATTAAGTGAATTATAAAAACATGGCTTGCTACGCTTAACCCTTTGACAATGCGGATCTGCACGTAGCTTTCTCATGCGTCCCAGCGCTTTTGGCCGCACACTCTCACTCACAACTGAGTGAGCAAAATTGTCCCTCAAAGTAGTTGTTCTACAGAATTTTTGTCTTTAGCACTATACCAGTTCATTTTAATTCGCTTTTGGAAAGAAAGCGAACCATACGCTTGCGGATCAAAAGTGTTCGCCGAAACGCTTTTTTCGTGCATTTCATTTCTTCCCTCCGGAGAATGATCTGAAGATTGATTTGAAGGTCTATCTTTCTTTCAAATATCTAGACTCTTCAGAAGTCAAGGTTGTAAAAGGCTTTGAAAGGCATTAATCTCGTTAATGCATTGAACGGCACCGTTTGAGTGAGAAAAAATGATGCACGGAAAAACGTTTCGCCATAACTTCGTAAAATGTACTGTATATGGTGAATGCGCAACGGTTTCATCTTCTTCGCATGATTAGAGGGCTCACTGCCGTTTAGAAAAAAATTCCAGCTTATTTTTTGAAGCTCGAAGATACGCTTATAATAAAGTAAACATCCGCTAATTAATGAGATATTCGCTGCAATAGCTTCCGACATGAGGCCAAGAGGTCAAGATTGCTGGTGACATACTCACTTTCATGCAGAGCTCCACCTGCCAGGGCCACGAATATGGTCTTGCCACCGTGCCGCCCAGGATTTTTGCCATCTCAAGAGGAGCGATAGGCGTATGGCCACAGTTCAGCTGCGACGAAACCGAGCCAAACACTGTAATTGAATAAATCAATCCAGCCCTGTTGAAGAGGTAAATTTCTTCTTCACATGTAGGGTTTAGACCGCAGTTTTTATGACAGCCTTCTACTCCCACTAAATAGCTTAAAGTGCGCTTTAGGCCGGAAAAATTGCATTCCTCTGTATTCACTGAAACGTGTTCAAATTGATCAACGGATAGCCATCGTGGTAGTCACGATGACCACATGGCTGATGGCTCCAGAGCCTTTTACAGCTCAATTGCCAACTAGCATGCAAACTCCATAGGAGGCACTCGGGATTTTGAGAGAGCCACTGCCAGTTAGCAAATGGGCTTTGATGTTGTCGCAACCACACGCAAACCTTACACTTACGTTATTAATTGGCGTATGGCAAAAAGCGCCGCGCGTTTTTTCACCACTGCTTCCCCTGCAGTTCTGAAATAATTTTTCTTCCACAACTATTCACAACATTGGGGTTCATCTTGGAGAAATAAGATCGCAGCCTTTCAAATCCATGTGACGATTTCGGGAGTTCTTACCATGTACTTTGTCGTTTTACCTTCTTTTTAAGATACGCAAAATCGTGATTTTCGACGGTTGGCACTTCACGTCTTCAAACTTGGAAGAGACACGCCAGGGCCAGCTCGTAATATGGCGACTGCATTGAGAAGGAGTGCGCTAGGAAACGCATAGCGCAAGATTAGCTCGGCAGGCTTTGGCCTGGAGAAATAAAGCTCGAAAGTGATGCGCGTAGTATAAGGAGTGCCCTCAATGTACGGGATTGTAAAAAAGAAATGAAAGAAGCTAATCACTGATACCCAACTACAGGTGTGGTATCAGAGGTTGGGTCTCTAAAGGCACCGAACTCGGCCGGGTGCAACGCTGTGAGAAAGGAGAAAAGATGTCGTCAATCTATCCAATCGAAACTGACCCTTGCGGTCAGCTCAAATGGCTGTGACGTGCATTGAGGTGCGTACTTCAACTCTACATTGCAACAGGGAAGGAGCTGCTTTAGAGATGGGTTATATAGGGTAGGATAAAACATACATCTGCACGCTAACAGTGAAACGAGTTACTTAACTTAGGTTACTAAATAGGTGGACGAAATCAAACTGCCTTGGAACTTCTGCTAAACCTGGGGCGCTTCCTATAAGGATTTTCCCCAATCTCTGATGACCTAGCTCATTGCAAGGTCCAAGAATCGAGTCATTCGACGACGTTAGAGTCCTGTCGTGACGAATAGAACATAAAATATGAGAAACTGCGAGAGTGATACCCTGTTTTGCGAAGAAAAAGGTGTCCAGTCCTTCTTCTCGACGAGCACCAAACGGCCATCCGATGAATGCGCTCCGTAAAATCCATTCAAAAATGGCTCAGAAGTTCTTCTTGCTATCCTTGTATAGCCAGGTACATCTTTCACGAACCACCAATTCCCCGCTTTTCAACATAATTCTTGGAGGAGAAATCGCGTTGAGAACTGAGGCATGTCAAATGCGCCTTCCTACAGCTTTTAGCCTATAATAAATTAACTTCTATAGGAAGGGAGTTCTTAGCATGGGTCTGATTGAGAACAATATGGTGAACATAGCAGTTTTTATTTCGAACAAAAGATTGTGTTTCAGCAAAGTTGTGGTGCTTCAAAATTAGGGGGTCAAAACGGCGGATACTTTTTGACCGACCTAATAGTTGCAAGCTGCCCCGATCAGACGCCATTGTACAATAATTAGAGGCTTACACACACGCTGTAATTGCAAGATTCTTCTGAGCAACTAGCAAATTAGATGGGCTTCCATAAACACTGTCTAGCGCTCTTTACTCTGCGCTTTTCCATCATATGTTAGCCCTGTTCAGAAGGGTAGAGCTCCGGATCGGCGATGGTATGGATCGGAAAGCTCAGGCTTTATGAGCATGCAATGGAAATAATGGTAAGTATGTTAATCCTGGCTTTATGTATGTCTCTTAACTGCTGCTTTGATGCCACAGTTCGTGTGCTTCACAATACTGGGCCATGGACAAAACTCTTCCCAGATGGGAGTCGGACTCACACCTGGGTTTGGCGAGAAATTGTGCCCAAAACCAGCATCCGTTAAAAATTCACTTTCAAATTACACTTTTTGTAGCATAGAACTAAATGTGCCTATCACTGGATAGATAGAAAATTGATTTTTCAAAAATAAAGATTGATCTTCAAGTCTATTGAGGGTGGGAGGCAGAGAAATCGTTCAGCCTCCGTTTTGCACGTGGCCCTAGACAGAGATCAATTGAAACGAGTTCTCTTAGTAGTAAGGAAGATGAAAAGGTTCCACGTCTTGCAATGGAAGTCGAGTGCGCGGCGTACTGGTCTGTCCCCTTAACTTTGTATCAACTTCAAAAATTTCTGAAAAAAAAATCAAAATACTAACCTATAAATAGTAAGGACGGTATCATGGCCAACCGGTGCTGTGACAATGCCCACACATAGGGTATTTTTTCCTGTTATCAGTAACAATATCAGCGGTACGACGATAACACAGAACAACAAGTAAACCTAAGGTTGCTTGGACTAAACTGTACTAAACTGTAGTAAAGATATTAAAGGGTAAAAATAAAGCATTTGCCGTTGATCAATCCCTTTTTGGGATGCGGCACGCATTCTACTTCCATTTGTACATTCGCAGTGGCGTTTGAATGCGATGTGGCCTATACAATGACTTGCGGGGGCCAGCCGATGTACAAGTCAGTGTTTTTATCCTCCCAGACAAGTCTGGTACCAATTAACCGACCCCGGAGGGATGGAAGGCTTGGTTGGCCCGGGCGACTCACGACCCAGGATTTGATCCCGGACCGCTACAACTTCGTATACTGCATTATACGTAAGTTAGTTAGCATATAAAGGATAAAAAAGGATAAAGCGTTTGCCGTTGATCAATCCCGTCTTGGGATGCGGCACGCATTACTACTTCCGATTTTGCTTGTTTTCCGATTAGTTATGGAGAATACCACAACAAGGCCGGAAGTAGAAGAAGGGGAATACCCCTAGCCCAGAGGCAGGCGTGCTGCTTGAGTTGTGTGGGACAATGCGTGTTCGGCAGCAACGAACGAGCATGACCAGCGGCCTGGCATGGCCATACCAGTGCCGCCAGCATCAATGAGGTCGCATCAAAGCGGAAATCAACTGCCGGAGAAGAGGTCCTATTTCTAGGATTCCGGGCCGCTTTTCTTGATTTTCTTTTCTTCCCTGCACCAGTGACCACCTCTATCCTGATTTTAATGGGCTGCCTTTTCAACGAAAACTCCGCCTTAAAATCGTGATGACCTTATAATGTGATTATAGTTGAGGTTTGCCCCCTCCGATACTCGGAAGAGCTGAAGTCCTGACAACACGCATGAATTTCTTCGAATTACTGATCTTTTCTTAAAGCCACGAGTCCGGATTAGGTCCCAAGAGCCAGTCCCTCCTAGAGTGAGGAAAGAGGGGTCCCCAAGGGCAGGAGGCACGACACTGTCGCGACTCAAAAGTGCGAGGCAACGGCGCTAAGGCCTTGCCTGCTGTCATCCTTATTAATTGCAACGTTCGTGGCGTCTGCTATTTGGGCGTACAACGTGCTCTCTCGCGTTTAGCCTCTGCTCCAGCGGTGTGTTTCCCCTTCATGCCACGGCCCACCCCGCAAGGGAATTTCAGTCTATCTATGTACTTTTTGCTTTTTCTCCACAACCTTGTTTAATTTCAACCAACTAACACACTAATTCGTTTCAGACTCGTATCTTTAATTTTACTTCGATTCGAACTACTATGGTATTGAACCTACAGGGGGGGGGGCAAAAAAAAAGAGTCACTCTCACTCACATTCAAAACAGAATTAATTACACTTTGCCAAAACCAAACCGAATGAGCTCAATTGCATATTGAAGAGCACATTCTATTCTATCAAAAAATTACATAGGGCTTTCTACACCGACGACATCAGAAGATTTTCCCACGGAAACATGGTTCGCGGTACGAGCTCAACGAGGTCGTCGAGAAACCATAGACGATTACGACGT